ATGCCACCCCACATTTTAACCGTGAAAATTGGCGAGCCCATCATTCTTCTCAGAAACATCAATCCGCCACGTCTTTGCAATGGTACCAGGCTTTCAGTGAAAAAGCTGATGCTCAATATCATCGAAGGTACAATTTTAAATGGGAAATTTAAGGGCGAGAATATACTTTTGCCACGAATCCCAATGATTCCAACAGACATGCCATTTGAATTCAGACGCTTGCAGTTTCCGGTGCGACTCGCCTTTGCAATGACCATAAACAAATCACAGGGACAATCCCTACAAGTGTGTGGACTACATTTGGAACATCCGTGCTTTTCACATGGACAGCTATATGTGGCCTGTTCACGTGTCGGAAAACCATCTGATTTATTTGTGTACGCGCCAGACGGAAGAACAAAGAACATTGTTTACCCGAAAGCACTTCAGTAAATACATTTATACTGTTAAATTACCTGTTTTTTCCTAAATAAATGAAATCGGCACAATGATCCAATATAATTACATTTTGTTAAAGCGATTTTCCTTTCAATTCACTTTCTATTGTAGCAACGCGTGCAGGGTTGTTTACAGCAATTAGCAAATGTGTTCATTTCGTAATTATGGTGTATTTTTCCTTTTTTCATTGCTTTTCACTAGGGTAGTTTTTCCGACTACTTCGATGAGGGAGAAAGTAGTAGGTGAACTGGGGGATGGGTGGTTAAAATAAACTGTTTACTGAGATAGATTTAAGTTACAGTAACTGCCTTACCCACTCAAAGTTTTATTAGCTGTGGTTTAGCTGTTGCTCTGTACATCGCTAGCGTGAAGCGAAGACACATTTCTATGTTCTCTATTTTCTATGTAGCCAAATTACGCCACAGCAACGCGTGGCCGGGTACAGCTAGTATATAAATAAAAATCAATGTTTGCGTGTTTGTTTATGAGCTATAAACTCGGAAACTACTGAACCGATTTAGCCGAAATTTTCTGGATTTGTTTGTTTTGATACCGGATGTTCACCCATCATAGTTTGAAATTCAATCTGTCATTGATAGAGATAGTTTGCGACAATTTAAGCAAAAATATTCAAAACTAATATTTAAATTGTTAGTGACATCTAATTATAGCCACGTTACTTAAAGCGCATGTGCGATCGATTTACAGTGCATGAGCAGAAGTGACGCTCCATCGTCAATATCCGCCCGCAAAATTACAAGGAAAACGGCCATCGGTTTTTAGTTGCGTTATCTAGAAATATCTAAAAAGGTGAGAGCATTTTTTTAAGTAACATTAATCAGTATGCACATGTTTTTGTTTTTGTTTACTTCAAACAAGTGTGCACCACTTCTTAAATCCCGCAATGATATATACACGTTATCATTAATCATTATCTGTTATCTTTCTCATACTCATGGGTACAACTACAGTTTTGGTTGGCTTCCTTCTGTTATTCAAAAGAATTATCTGTTGGCTTTCTCGCATTGTCTTATATAACCGCCTTTTCTTACTATTTGCTGCCCCGTTTCTATGCACTCCCTCTTGAGTCAAAATAGATTGTTATCTCATGCTCATCTTTTCATTTATTTCAGCAATACTTCAAGTCACATTTCATTCAGTGCGTGAGGACGAACAAGCTATTGATGATCAGCGCTCACAAAATGTGCAGTTATGCTTCCCAAACGACAAGCGATTGGTCCATCTACACCTAAAACACGCAAGAGAAGGGTAATAATTGCTTCAGAAACAGACGAGCAATGTGAGGTAAGACTGGAAACCATTCGAGTGCGCACTGCTGAAGCCCGTTCATCTCAATCAAACCAGCAAAGGAAAGCAAGACTAGAAAACGTTCGAGTGCGCATTGCTGAAGCTAGATCGTCTCAGTTAGACAAGCATCGAGAAGCAAGACTGGAAACCATTAGAGTACTCACTGCTCAAGTCGGTTTATCAGAGCAACGGAAAGCAAGACTGGACACCGTTCGAATGAGCACTACTTTATCCAGGCGAACACTGCATGTTGATCTGAATCTTGGTGCATTCCATTACACCACTAATTATGATTACAGTCTTCATCCACGGGTGCTTATTGGCAAAATGGATAAATTGTGCGTACATTGCAGTGCCTTCAAATTTAGAAATGACACGCCGGGTACGTGCTGCGCTGGTGGAAAAGTTAAATTGCCAGTATTACATTCACCACCCGAACCATTATTATCATTGGTAGCAGGTGAAACAGGCCAGTCAACACATTTCTTAACAAACATAAGTACATTTCCAAATATGTCAACAAAGGAGGCGATATGGCAGTCTTTGGAGTGGGAAATGCAGCTGCATCTATCGATGAAATCAAGCAATATCAGCTGGGGCGCTACATTGGTAGCAATGAAAATGTATGGCGCATTTTGTTATTTCCAATTCATGAACGACACATCCAGCAGTTGTTCATTTGGCAGTGCACCTTGAAAATGGACAGCGCGTGTACTTCACTACAGAAAATGCACATGCACGAGCATTGTTACCACCGCCAACCATGTTAACTGATTTTTATCATTGTGTAGAGATGATATGTTTGCAAAGACACTACTTTACTCTGACCTGCCAACATACTACACTTGGAATGCATCAGCTAAAAAGTTTCAACGTTGCAAGCAAGGTCAAGCGGTTGACGGACATCCTAATTTATATTCTGCTGATGTTTTAGGCCGTCTGTACACTGTTCATTCCAAAAATGCAGATTGCTTTTACTTGCGATTACTTTTAATCAACAAACGGGGACCGACATCCTTCCAGGACTTGAGAACAGTTTATGGTAAAGTATGTGCTACTTACCGTGAAGGTTGCCAAGAATTAAATCTTCTTGAAAACGATGCACATTGGGACACTTCACTCGCTGATGCTTCGAATACTGCTCGACCACAGCAAATCCGCACATTATTTGCAATATTATTAACAACTTGCTTTCCATCCAATCCAAAAGAGCTTTGGGGAAAATACAAAGACTACATGAGTGAAGACATCCTACATCGCTGGCGTGACACGGAGCATGATCAGGACCTTCAATTCACACCAAATGTATATAATGAGGCATTGGTTTGCATTGAGGACATATGTTTGGCAATAAATAATAAAGCACTGGTTCAGTTGGGACTGGCTCCACCAGAACAATCTGCAAACAACCTTTTCAATCGTGAGTTGCAACGAGAGACACACTTTGATGTCACCGAATTAGGTACATTTGTTCAAACAAATCTTCCAAACGTGGTTCCAGAACAACGTATAGCATATGAAACAATTATGCATGCCGTTACAAGACAACACGGAGGATTGTATTTCATAGATGCACCCGGAGTCCCAGGCAAGACCTTTCTCATTTCGCTTATTTTGGCATCCATACGGTCACAGAATAATATTGCACTGGCACTCACATCTTCTAGATTTGCTGCAACTCTTTTGGATGGTGGCCGAACAGCGCATTTAGCACTGAAGTCGCCTTTAAATATGCATATCACTGAGAGACCAGCATGCAATATCAACAATGATTCTGCAATGGGTAAAGTACTCAAAGTAAGTCAACTCATTAAATGGGACGAAGTTTTCCCTAATATCACACAGAATTACATAAATCATCAGTGGCTCAGTGAATGTGCTATCTTAATCTAAGACGAATTACCAGGCGAAGTGACAATGTATAAGTCTATCGATACTGTAATGATTCAAGATGAGGTTGTCAATTATCCAACTGAGTTCTTTAATTCGCTTGATTTGCCAGGCATGCAACCCCATGTTTTAACCTTGAAAGTTGGCGTGCCTGTTATTCTTCTCAGAAACATCAATCCGCCACATCTTTGCAGTGGTACCAGGCTTTCAGTGAAAAAGATGGTGCCCAATATCATCGTAAGTACAATTTTACATGAACCTTCAAGGGCCAGGATATACTATTGCAACGCAATTCCAACAGACATGCCATTCAACTTCAGATGCTTGCAGTTTCCGGTGCGACTTGCCTTTGCAATGACCATCAACAAATCACAGGGACAATTAGAACAATTGTGTGGACTACATTTGGAACATCCATGCTTTTCACATGGACAGCCATATGTGGCCTGTTCGTGCGTCGGAAAACCTACTGATTTATTCGTGTACGCAACAGGCGGAAAAACTAAGAACAATTACAATGACATTTTAAATTGCCTGTTTTTTCCTAAGGGTTTGTAATCAGCACAATGAGCCAATATAAATACTACATACTGTTATATCGACTTTCCTTTCAATTGAACTTCTATTAGAGGCGTAGCAACACGCCCTGGGTACAGTTTACCATAGCATTCATTTCGTAATTATTGTGTATTTTTCTTGTTTTCATTGCTTTTCACTTGGGTAATTTTTCCTACTTCGATGTACGAAGCAAGATTTCTATTTTCTTTCTTTTAAATTTAGCCAAACTATGCCACAGCAACGCGTGGCCGGGTACAGCTAGTTTTCAACACAAATTTCTGCTCGATTCCAAAGTAAATAAACTAAACACTAATAAAGCGAAAATATTAATAGAAATTAAATCACTCTTGGAAGAAAAACATATCAGTGAAGCTACAGCTAGGAAATCGTCTTATTTCGACCACCAACTCCCCACCCCCCCCCCCCCACAATCTGATTTCATAAAACCTCTAATTAATCCCCTTTTAAGTCATGCGTGTTACAAGTCAGTGGGTCTTTTTATTTTCTCCCCAAATATTTTTTTTTAATATCCAGAAACCATGGGTTCTTAACCCTTTGGCTCGGTACTATGGATATCGCAACCCTTCGGCCTTGATTCCATAATACCGTAAATCTGGAAGAAATGTGGCTTTTCAGCCTACCCCTGGGTGTGAACCCGGACCACAAGGAGTTCGTCACCCGGTCACCGCGAAATCAAGTTTAGCCAACTACGCTAGCGAGCAGGGCCTCCCAATATATAAGAACAAGAACCCTAACCAGCAAGTCGTGCCTTATTTATATGCACGAAATGTTGACAACAATTATACCTTCACAGTAGAGTGTGTTGAACAATGCACAGTCGCATGTCCTGGAACAGTTCTGTCCGTGTGTGAACGGAGGGCAAGCTAAGAAAAAGAAGAAGAAAAACAATACAAGCTAGTCTATAAACAGACAACAATGGAAGACTTCACTAGCATGGGCATGTTAAATTCAAGAGATGGTGTAACACACATACCAAGCATATGCCCATTTTTCGCCTGAGTAGTTTACAGCTGTGCCCATATTAGCACTGCATTTAAAAAAAAAAACGTTTTCCCTCTTGATGATTAGAATCTGTAGGATTAACATCTCAACAGTGAGAATCAAACTGTAAGTAAAGGGGCTCCTTTCCACTTCTTTATGTGTATTAGAGAAACATGACTAGACCTATATTTCATAGACTTATACGGCACTTTGGGGAAAAGGGGTGGGGGGTAATGTGGTCAGCATCCAACTGGTCAGCTCTTCTTCCCAGGACTGCACCTAGTACCCATTCAAGGCTGGGTCGACTTGGTGGTCAAGGTCATTTCTTGTTAAATCTCCGGCTCCGTCATGACGTGAACTCACGGCTTTCCAAACCCGCAGGCGACCGTCTAGCCGCTATACCACGGAAGCTCCCGCATCAAACATATGAGAAACCAGAAGTCACAGCTGAAATTGCTTAAAACCGTATAGCACTTTTACACTGGGGCACCACAGTCGGTTAGGAAATAATCTGTAGTTTAATTTAGGGATGGGGGTGGGGGTGGGTGGGTGGGGGGTGTTTGGGAGGGGAGAGAGAGAGAGAGAGAGAGAGAGAGAGAGAGAGAGAGAGAGAGAGAGAGAGAGAGAGAGAGAGAGAGAGATGACTAAGGTGACTATATTCAATCCGCAGAACTTATGCTGCACGAGTGCCTCTTACATAGTACATTAGTTAGGAAATAATGGCCTAGTAAGTCACCAACTTACTCAAACTTATACTATAAAAAGAGGAACCCTAAATAAGGGTAAACTTTATCAAAAGTACTCCACTGTCCGTATAAATCAGAGATACAATCACACAGAGGAGCATGTTGTGTTTTAGAGCCTTTGGTAAGGTTGATAATGTCTTTACACCCCATCGGCGCTAAATTAGTGACATGACCAACATCACGCCAATTGTCTTTGCTGCCACGACATTTCCTGGTACACGCTTTATGGTGTGCTTTTCTGGCAAATAGCATTTTCTTTCTAAATGTCCACTCTTTTGCGTATTGGAACCCAATAACAGAGACAGAGGACATGCCATGGTACTAGGAATCTGTGTACCTCTTTGCTATTATAGTGAATATAACTGAAATTCTATACATTCACAGATACGGTGGGTGCTGAAAGATATATATCCCTGAGTAGAAACACAAGGGACTTTTAATCAGGTTAAAAGGGGTACTTGAAAGGATGTGGATTCTTCGTTGGCTACTGTGCCGAGTTTGTCTGCTAGTGTCCCGAGTGCAATGATTTCAGTTCTTGATCTGGAAATTAATTCATTTATCATAATAAATATCATATACATAGGAAGTAAATTTTGACAGACATCCAGCAACATGCACTGCTCTGTAAATGATGTCAAAATAACGTGTTTGGAGCACTGAGAAACATTGCAGCACTGATAAACACTATAGTACTGATAAACATTGCGGCACTGACAAATTTAGCAACGCTGACAAACATTGCGGCACTGAAAACACTGCAGCACTGACAAACATCTCACCCCTGACAAAATTGCAGCACTACAAACATTCCAGCACTGACAAACATCTCAGCCCTGATAAAAATCTCAGCACTGACAAACACAGCAGCACTGACAAAGATTGCAGCACAGACAAACATTTGTTCACTATCAATCACGGATACGATCACTCACGGGCGCAGTAGTCAGCATCAGACAATATAAAGCCATCACGACAAACACAGGTATAAGAACCGACCCCTTGACTGCAGTACATTTCCATTCCTGTGCAGGGCCTGGTAGAGTAACAACAGTGTCGGTTTTTTTTTTGTTTACAAAGTGAAATTAAATTCAGTACATGAAGTCGCTTTAGGCGACCGGCTCACCTTTTGGTTGGCCGGTAGACGACTTCGTCATTTTCTTAGGAAAGTATTTGAGTCTGTCTCCTTTGATCGCAACAACACTGCAAGAATCCTTTTCACGGCTACTACTAGGTGGTGAGAAATGCTGGGCTATTTTATACAGCACACATTGACTAGTCACAATTATAACTTACAGCTCCTCTCCGTGGGATGCTGGTTGCACGTGACGATGTATATATATATATTTTTTCTTTTGGGCAAAGCAAGCCAAGCCAAGTCGCCATGGTGTAGTCACTGTACTTTAGCTCTTGGTGGAGCTGGACATATGTTAAAACAATTTTACTGGCCCTCAGGGCAGCAGGTAAAAGTCCTAGAAGGTAAAGGTATCCGGGGAGATGTAGACCACATTACCCACCGAGTGTTGTCTGGCCTATAAGATATAGCACTGTATACACAGTACGCATGAAGGCTTCAGAATCTGGGAAAAGGGAGGGGGTGGTGCTCCAAGGCTCTTTTAATCATCTCTAAACTGAGGCTGGCAGGAAAGGGAGAGTGGGAGTTTAACCTATAAGTGTGTAGGGGTATTAAGATGACTAAATATCTGTTTTTGTATTTTACATTAATTCAGTTGTACTATTATATTTATTTGCTAATTAAAACATAAATAAAAATAATAACAATGTGTTGATTGGCAAATGTATGCTGGAAATAATATGATATGCATAAATAATTGTAAAGAAAATTACTCTAAGCCCACTAAAAAATTATTATGGTGAAAAGTTTTAGGCACCCCCTCCCCCACCCCCCTTTTTTTCTCCCACCCAGGCACGGGCCAGATTTTATACAGGAGGGATCGAGGGCCTGAGTTCCCACCCTAAGCACTGCCTAGAAAATGTGTAAGATGGAGGAGGGATGGGTCAGCATGTTGTTTAGGTCTAAAAAAAAAGTTTGGAGGAGAAAAAACAAGTTTCTACAGTATATTTTTTTTACACGTTTACTGATACGCTGCTCCCCTATGTTCTTTGCTGTTAGTGACGTCATTACAGACCATTAATGTACCATGGTAACGTTGAGACACTACATTGCAGGTATTCCGTTTGTGTGTTGATTATTTTGAGTCCTAATGGAATTTGAACTTCGAGTTGCTTCTGTGAGGTGATTGTTCCTGATATGTGGTCTTTGTCGCTCATGTTAATGATAATTTTACTCCTAAAATAGCTTCACTACTACTACTACTACTACTACTACTACTACTACTACTACTACTACTACTACTACTACCACTACTACCACTACTACCACTACTACTACTACTACTACTACTACTACCACTACTACCACTACTACTACTACTACTACTACTACTACTACTACTACTACTACCACTACTACCACTACTACTACTACTACTACTACTACTACTACTACTACTACTACTACTACTACTACTACTACTACTACTACTACTACTACTACTACTACTACTACTACTACTACTACTACTACTACTACTACTACTACTACTACTACTACTACTACTACTACTACTACTACTACTACTACTACTACTACTACTACTACTACTACCACTACTACTACTACTACTACTACTACTACTACTACTACTACTACTACTACTACTACTACTACTACTACTACTACTACTACTACTACTACTACTACTACTACTACTACTACTACTACTACTACTACTACTACTACTACTACTACTACTACTACTACTACTACTACCACTACTACTACTACTACCACTACTACTACTACTAGTTCTACTACTACAACGACATGTCCTTACATCAGACCATGCCGTTTCTGTTCAGATCACGGACGCCGCAGCCTTCTCAGTGTGTCCATGCTTATCGTACCTAGCAGGAGGCTATTGGCGTGCATTCTTTCTGTGTCCCACAAGGGGTTTTTGTATGCTTGTCCTTAAAGTGAACGGAAGTGAAATAACATACAGACTTACCTTGTCTGTCCCTATTTCGTCCTCCACCATCCACCGAAGGCACAGTCAATTTGCAGATACTGTCATATCGTTATCCCGGTGTGTCCCGTTGTGTACTGTCAATATAGTTACTTGAAGCGGGGCTTCTTAAATCATCCCATTCTAGTCGGATCTTCTTAATTAAGCATGCTTGTTATAGAGTAGGGATCACTCCAGCCGTACAAATTAAAAGGACCCGAGTGCTGTTTAAAATAATACTGCATAAATACTCCACAGGGATCACAAATGAAAGCCCCTGTAAGATGGAACCCTTTCCCAATGAACGCAGACGCCGAGCTCTGGAAAAAAAAAAAACCCAGGGCGTGCAGATATTTGGAAATTTGAGGTAAGCGCTGTGATTGAGAGCCAGAAATATGCCACTGTTAAATTCGTTTGCAAAAAAAAAAAAAAAAACACCGTCCTCGGTACCTGGAGGCTACTGACGCGGGGATATCGCGAGTAGTTACTGTTTTGTACGTGGCACAAGACAACAAGCTGGAATTATTTCAAAAATGTCGTCTGGCACCTATTTTCATGACTAATTTTATATAACACCTCGAGTAATTAGGAGAGGTCAGGGTAATAGAAAGTTCTATGTATAGCAACTGGACGCCCTTGAAAGAGAGTTCAATTCGATCAGAAATCGCTCTGAAACTGCACCCAGGACGGTAACACGATCATCGATGGACAGAATGAGGCACAGAAACATGAAGAAAGTGGCTAGCAGTTCGTAATGGCGTTCTAATCAGGAACGCCCAACGAATAGTAAGAGCTGAAGGAAGATGACTAACATCTACTATAGCAAATATGGCATGCTTGAAGCAACATACTAGGTGGGACGGACACACATTTTTTCATCATTAATTCTGCTTCGTGGTAAAGAAGCTTTAAGCACTATGTTTAGCCTTGTATGAAAACAGTGTTAAGCTGTTTATTTCGTGGATTATTCATTCATTTTGGATTGAAGTGGATGTTATTTATAACCAGATTATCATTGAGGTTATGCGGACGGGACCAAGGAGTCTATGTACTTTATTTTGTCACGCTGTTGAATGTGCCGTCTGCCTGAGGCTTTACAAGTAAACAGATTGACCCATCCTACAGTCGCAGCCTAATGTCGGTGTGATGTTCAGTCGTTTAGAGATGATTTTGTGGTGATGAGTAAGAGGCTATTCGGACACATAGTTGATGGTCGTTAGACGTAGCCGTGATGAACCGGCGGTTATCCAGGCAGAGACCCTGTCATATGCTCACAGAGTCTGCCAATATCCATGCGGGAGTAGCTGTATGTTCTTCCAGCCACGCAAGTGCCTATGCGACAGTTGCTGCCTTTATTGTCATACCAGAAGTAGTTAAACTCAGTTCCTGACTTTCTTTCTCTACTGTTCCCCCATTCACCCACGCTGTGTATATCCACATATACCGTACCATACGAATCATGCAGCCATGATAACGTCACCCGATAGAGTGTACATGGGGATGAGGGTTCCATTTTCAGCATCACAGGCTGTTTGACTCCATTATCTGCACTCATTGTCTGCCCACCTTTTTCAGCATCACCGGTTGTCGATTCAATTCTCTGCACTGTCTGTCCACATTTTTAATCATCACCGACTGTCGACTCCATTCTCTACGTTCACTATCTGCCCAGCTTTTTCAGCATCACCGGTTGTCGACTCCATTCTCTGCACTCACTATCTGCCCAGGTATTTCAGCATCACCGGTTGTCGACTCAATTTTCTGCACTGTCTGCCCAGCTTTTTCACCATCACCGGCGGTCGACTCCATTCTCCGCCTAGATTTTTTAGCCTCATCGGCTGTTTGACTCCATTCTCTGCTCTATCTGCACAATGTGATTATTACTGTAATCTGATCCTGCATTCTTTCTGGTGCTTCTATCCATTCAATACGGAGCCTCACATGTTCAACTGGAAATTTTGGCTAATGGTATCACCTAATTGCGCTATTCATGATTCCCCTAGCCCCCCCCCCCCCCCCTTTTCTCTTCTATGTTATGCGCAAAAGGTGTTTTATGTCACCATCAACACCCAGGTGCGCCCTTGATCTGGCAGGTCGAGGCTGTGACGCATTAATACGATTACAGTAAAATATTATTTACACATATTCCAAGAGACTGAAAATCGAGATTGTGCTTTAAAAATGTGTGCTAACAGGGGACTAAAAGTAAAAATGCTGCGATCGAAATTGTGTTCTCAAGCGAGTTCGTGTTAATAAGGGCTTACTGTGGCTTTACTACTACTACTACTACTACTACTACTACTACTACTACTACTACTACTACTACTACTACTACTACTACTACTACTACTACTACTACTACTACTACTACTACTGCTGCTGCTACTACTACTACTACTACAACTACTACTACTACTACTACTACTACTACTACTACTACTACTACTACTACTACTACTACTGCTGCTGCTGCTACAACTGCTGCTGCAGTTGCTGTTACTACTACTACCACTACTACTAAGCTTGCTGCAGTTATACTCTCAATGTGTACTTACGGATCTGGAGATTCACAGATGTTCTTGATAATATCACAACGTCGTCCAACATAGCCGACCTTACAAACACATGCTCCACTTTCGCTATTACATTCTGAGGTTCCCTCCCAGGAACAGAGACAATATGAGAGGCAGTTTTCTCCATATCGTCTTTCTGGGCACTCTGAAAGATTTTACAGTTTTTTTTTTTTTTTTTTTTTTTTGGGGGGGGGGGGGGGGGGGGGAGGGGGTGGGTTTCCCCAAGCATTTGGAGCCAAAAGAAAAAGAAATTACTTGTCATGTCAGCTGTATGTTTTAATGCATAAATAAATGCTTTAACAAGTGGCAAGCATATACAGCCTTAACAACAGCAATACTTTTAATTTCTGGCACGTTTTTCATA